GTGAAAAAGTTGGCTTAAAGCTCAACATTCAGAAAACTAAGATCATGGCATCCGGTCCCATCATTTCATGGCAAATAGATGACAGTGGAAACAGTGGCTGAATTTATTTTTATTTATTTATTTATTTTTATTAATTTATTTATTTTGGGGGGCTCGAAAATCACTGTGGATGGTGACTGTAGCCATGAAATAAAAAGACACTCCTTGGAAGGAAAGTTATGACCAACCTAGATAGCATATTAAAAAGCAGAGATATTACTTTGCCAACAAAGGTCTATCTAATCAAGGCTATGGTTTTTCCAGTAGTCATGTATGGATGTGAGAGTTGGACTATAAAGAAAGCTGAGCGCTGAAGAATTGATGCTTTTGAACTGTGGTGTTGGAGAAGACTCTTGAGAGTACCTTGGACTGCAAGGAGATCCAACCAGTTCATCCTAAAGGAAATCAGTACTGAATATTCATTGGAAGGACTGATGTTGAAGCTGAAACTCCAATACTTTGGCCACCTGATGTGAAGAACTGACTCATTGGAAAAGACCCTGATGCTGGGAAAGATTGAGGGCAGGAGGAGAAGGGGACGACAGAGGATGAGATGGTTGGATGGCATCACCGACTCGATGGACGTGGGTTTGAGTAAACTGCAGGAGTTGGTGATGGACAGGGAGGCCTGGCATGCTGCAGTCCATGGGGTGGCAAAGAGTCAAACATGACTGAGTGACTGGACTGAACTGAACTGAACTGAGGATCACTGGATATATACTCTTAAGATCTCCTTAAATTGTATGGCTCTATTATTTTTTCTCCAAATCTTTCATTTTTCTTTTTTCTTCCTTTTTAGCTTCTTTCTTACTCTTCTCCCCACTTTATTTCTTTTCTCTTTTCTTCTCTTTCCTTTTTCTTCCTTTGCCTTCCCAAATAATTTAGGCCAGAAGCCATGAGGTGGAGCCAATAGTAGGAAGAAGGCCACTGTGGCATAGAGCGGGGATACAGAACTCGGGGTCAGGGTGGGGGTCAGGAGGGCATCTATATGTGGGCATGCTACAGTGATGATACCAGAACAGAGGAGTAGGGGGACACGGCCCCGCACAAGGTGCTGAAGCCAGAGCAGGGTGAAGAGGGCATCTGCATGCTGGGGACTGGAATCAACAGCTCTCAGGTCAGCCTGGGAACCCCAGCCTCCTGCACACCCTTCCTTGCCAAGTAGGTGCTTAATTCCATACAAGGTATGTGGTCCATATGGAATGAGGACTCCTTGGAGAAATAGTGGTTCCAGGTCTGAGGACGGGAAAGTACAGAATGATGCTGGAACAAATATCCTGATCTGATAGAAAGAAAAAAACACTGAAGGAGTGATGAAGACATGTCAAAATGATGCAAAAGCTAGCTAAAATGGGCTCCCACAGGTCAAAGGTGGGACAGTGTGAGCATCAGAATAAAAAAAAATAATAGTAATGGATGAAAACCCATTGAATGAAGTAGGAACCTGTGAGTGTAGTGTAAACCCTGATAGTTATGTTTTTTTCTTTCCCTCTTTTTGGTGATCCACTTACCTGACTAAAGCCTTAATTTCTGAGATGTCTTTTCCAAGAGGCGTTCCGTCAATGGGTACAGTAAATGTTAATTGATTGTGAAAGATTTCCTTTTAGTGCATATTGTTTTATTTTACTGTTTTGAAAATATAGAATTGCTAATGCTTTGCCAAGTTCTTTCCATGTGTTTTATTTCTTCTTAAAAGCTTCCACTGTATTTAGATATTTCATGGTATAAACATTCATTCCTTCAATTTTGGTCAGTTTAATGCTGATTTTCTGTTCTACAATTATTTTTTTCCTATGTAAAATCTGAATCATCAGTATGCCTTATCTGTAAACCGTTTGTCTTGGGAAACAGGTATTGTTGAGTTGGAGGCCATTAAGTCAAGTTGAGGTCAAAGCAGAGGTGTATATGCATCAACACAGCTCTCTTTTCTCAGGTCATCCCCTTCACTGAGGACCTGTGGGTTGGATTACCATCTAGGAACTTAACAAATGACTTAAACCCATAAACAAAGTTTCTGTGTCTCTATTCCACTGGTATTCCTGGTAGTAAACCATTATTTTTATATCTCATGAGGTGCTACTCAAGGACCACTATCACTATGTTCCTTCTCAAAACTGAGTGAATTGTGCTGGGCTAGCAGAGAAGATTGAAGATTCCTAACAAATAACATTGGGGCTTCCCAGGTGACACTAGTGGTAAAGAATCCACCTGCCAATGCAGGAGAGGCTGGTCCCATCCCTGGGTTGGGACCATCCCCTGGAAAAGGAAATGGCAACCCATTCCAGTATTCTTGCCTTTGAAAAGCCCATGGACAGAGGAGCCTGGTGAGCTACAGTCCATGGGATCAAAAAGAGTTATATATGACTGAGCGACTGAACACACAGCTCAGCACAACAAATAATGTATCCCAGGTCAGACTTGTTACTTATTATTCTCAAGTGATATCTACTACTCAGGTTGGGCTATAACTCTCATAGCAGCTTCCTGCTTTCTCTGTTTCCTTAGTAGATCCTGGTTTTCTAGGATCATCCACTCAGAGCTCAACTGGTAGGAATAGTAACGGCATTTAATAGAATACTGGTGGTAATGTAATTGAATCCCAATAAATTCAATCAAACAAGCTTCTGAATGTCCATTATAAATAAGGCACTCTGGTGGATTATAAAGATGAAAAAGAAATGATCACTTTTTCTAAACACAACTGAATGTCTTATCACTTTTTTTGCATCCCCTATCCTTAGCCCAGTAACTAGCAGGGTGCTCAATACATGTTTTTTTAAATTAATTAAACAAAAAGCACATTGAAAAATAGCAAGAAGCAGAGCTCTTTTATAAATGTGTTCCTCAAGAAATGAGGCGTTTTTTTTTAATTCTTTTAAATAAAATGCAACAAAAATATCAAAATACAAAAACAAGTCAAATTTTTTTTTCATTTAAAGGCTTCACTGAGAACATACTTATTAATGTTTAAATATCATGTACACTGCTTGCAGTTCTCTGCTGAAGGTAGGTTTATTTTGCACACTTGAGGCATCTAGACACTTGAACTGGCATGTCTCCTTTGGAAAGGGAAGCAGAAGTTAAATTTGCCCAAAAGTCAAAGTCCACAGGCAAGACTACAGGATGCTCAAAGTTAAGTACACTTGATCTTCTGCATCCACGGGTCCCACCTCTACCAGTTCAACCAACAGAACCAACAGATGTGGTTGGTTGAATCCAGGTGGTCAAACAAACAGATATTGAGGGCCAAGTGTACTATGCCATTATATATAAAGGACTTGAGAATCCAGATTTTGATATCCACAGGGAGGATGGGAGCATGTCCTGAAACTAATTCCCCATGGATATCAATGGACAACGGTAATCAGATCACTTTTGATCACCTCTCCTAAAGGCTGCGTGTCAAAGAATTGATGCTGTTGAGCTGTGGTGCTGGAGAAGACTCTTGAGAGTCCCTTGACAGCAAACCAGTCCATCCTAAAGGAGATCAACCCTGAATATTCATTGGAAGGACTGATGCTGAAGCTGAAGTTCTAGTACTTTGGCCACCTGATGCAAAGAGCTGACTCACTGGAAAAGACCCTGATGCTGGGAAAGATTGAAGGCATGAGAAGGGGACGGCAGAGGATAAGATGGCTGGATGGCATCCCCGACTCAATGGACATGGGTTTGAGCAAGCTCTGGGGGATGGTGATGGACAGGGAGGCCTGGCTGCTGCAGTCCATGGAGTTGCTAAGAGTCAGACACCACTGAGTGACTGAACAAGAAAGGCAGAAATATTTACATTCAAACTCTGTTTGTTCATTTGGGATGGTATCTATATTCCCTGAAGGAATCATTCAAAAGCAACTAAAGACAAGTTTTAGACAAGAAGAATTTCCCTCAGAATTTTTGAAATGTCTCTATCCCTGTCTATCTATCTTGTTTCATGTAGAGTGTTTAAGATGGGGGTAATCTTCATGCCCATAAAGTGAAAGGTGTTCATCATGTCCACTCTATCATAGACCTCTAGTTGCTTCCTTTTGCTGTTTCCTGAGACAGACACAGCTCTCTCAATGATTTTCCAGGACAAGAGAATAATTTAATTCCCCGAATCTCCCTAAATTCCTCTAAACAGATGTTCACACTTGTAGTACTAGAATAACAACTTTACAACAATCATGTACCTTCACAAGACTCTTCAATTTCCCATAAAGCATGAGTCGACCTTTACATTGGTGGGTATGATATTCATGGTTTCTCAAGGCATTGCAGTTACCTGACATTAATCAAATGCACTGGGAAGAGAGATACAGAGAAATAGTTAGCAAGATACATACATATACACACACGTGTGTATGTGTGCCAAGTTGCTTCAGTCGTGTCCGACTCTTTGTGACCCCATGGACTGTAGCCCACCATTCTCCTCTGTCCCTGGGATTCTCCAGGCAAGAACACTGAGGTGGGTTGCCATGCCCTCCTCCAGGGGATCTTCCTGACCCAGGGATTGAACCTGCCTCTCTATGTCTCCTGCATTGCAGGTGGGTTCTTTACCACTAGTGCCACCTTGCAAGCCCTATACACACATACCTAAATGTAAACATATATATACAGAAATGGAGTGAGATCAAGAGTGAGAGAAAGAGAAATTTAAGAATCCATATGTTCTACTTACAGAGAGAGCAAGAGGAGCATTGACTCCTTCATATAGTCTCTTTCCACATGCCCAGGATGATCATCTTATTGAACTGGAATTATTTCAAGATTTAAGAATTGTCTTGCTTTGATACGGCATGGTCACTAATGTAAGCCAATTATTAGGCTGAATCATATAAACTTTTCATTTTTGCAGGTCAAAACTGTCAAATTTTAGCAATTTTCTATTGTTCCACTGTCTAGATCACCTCTGACTCATTCTGTTGGTGAAGGAGAGATTCCCCTACCCTAAGTAATGCAAGATAATCAGACACAGGACACCCAACTCTGGACAAATAAGATTGACAGCTGTTTATTAGTCACATGCACCCACAGCAGGGCGAGGAGGACATTACTGGCCTTGCAGGGCCACAAGGGTCTCACTTGGGAGGAGAGTGAATACGTAGGGATGGTGGGAGGCAGGCTCTAGAGGATGAAGATAGATGCCCTTGGTTCCTGCAGGAGAATATAACTGACTAGGTTGAATAATTTCCCAGATTACAGGAAGCAGAGCAGCAAGGTTGAGGTAGCCTGTAGCTGCTCCAGCTGCCAGGGAAACCAGCTGAGTGAGGAGAGTTTCCTGCTCAGCGGGAGGCATATCAGGTAAGTGAGGAACTGCTAGACCCTGGGGACCCTCTGAGCCACATCAAGGCAGTGAATGAAATTGTCAGTATTATAATACTTCAACCACACTTCAACAGGTGTTCAACTGACAGAGAAAAGGGTTCTCTATTCTACTGGTGTAGAAAAGTTTGTTCTGTTGTATTCATACCTCTGACAAAGAATGTTCTCAGTGATCATTTTCACAATTTGATTTTCTGATTATGTGCTGAGATTGTTGCTTCTAGGTGTGAGCCCAATACTGGTCCTTCCCTTCTTCATTACCAGCACAACCTCAGTTTTATTCAGGATGACCATGTCCTCAGAAAATTTGATGTCACAATCTCCGTTTTAATGCTGGTAGCCTGGCCAAGAAGATGTTATTAGGAGGCTACAGGGAGGATCTTCCCAGAAAGCAGTGTGTCCTTAGTATAATATAGCATGCTTATCTAGCATACATCTTTGGTTCTTGGCATCTTCTTCTGTTTCCTTCCTTGCACCTAGGCATGAAGGGGCAATACCTGGAAATGAAGAATCATGACCATGAGGATGATGTAATGTAATTTCACAATTACATGTGAAATTTTTCAGGAGTTAGTGTAGCATAATTTGAATCTTGGTTTCCACTTGCAGCTATGTGAAAGTGTTCTGTAAACTTTATGAGTCTCAATTTTTTCACCATGTAGTTTTCAAGATCCCTGTGAAAATTTTATCAATACCATAAGACAGTGATACATTTATTTAAAAATATTTATTGTTTCAACCCCTTAGATTGTAAAAGTATGAAAAGCAAAATTAACACGGGAATGCACCCTATAGAGTTTTTAGGGAGGGAAGTCAGAACCTTAAAAGGAGAGCATTGTCCTGGGTTATAAATTATTATGAAGTATAAGGTATGGCTGGCAGTATGTTATTATTGGAGACAGAAGAGGCAGTCAAGAAAGTTTTGCTACTTTCCGTTATCATTAAACTTTTCAAAATAGTTATTTATACTTGTCTTCATTCTTTGCTGCCTACCCCAGTCACTTTCCCGTCTATTCTAATCTGTCTTTCCCATCTCTATGTTGTCACTGCCTGAAAACAGCACTGTTATACTCACCAGTAACTTCCATGTCTCTGTAATGAATGTACATTTTTTGGCACCTGGTTTTAATTACCTTTTTGACATCATCTGACCCAATTAAATTCTCCCTCTTTCTTGAAGGACCTCCTTCTCTTCTGTGACAACCGGCCCGCCCTCCCTCTATTTTTCCTCCTGACCTCCCTGTCAGCCTGCCAGCTCATCCGTGTTTACTTTCTATCACATGCTGAAATTCCTCAGAGCCAGACCTGAAATTTCTTCCTCTTATCTTTCTATATTCTTAATGATATGATTCATCCCTTGGGGTCAATAATAGTTATGTGTCAGTAATTCCAAATTTTTATCTCCAGCCAAGATTTCTCCTTCAAGTCACAGACTCAAATCCTGACAAATCCCTGCTACCACATGACAAATTATAGTTAAAATCTAACTCGCTTTTAACTTCCCAGTATGGGAACCCTCTTTTCTTACTTGAGAAAATTAAGATAGCCCTTGTCCTGCAATAAGAGTTTAAAGTTCCAAATCCTTGTTTTTCCATATTTCTTGGTAGTGACAAAATGGGGACATGTCATAGGATCCATCAACCTGATATATCTGTCACAGACTTTGAATGGAGAACTGGTGACATAAGGAATTAAAATTTGTGAGACATTTCTCTGGCCGTGGTGTCAAGGGGAAAAATGATCTACCAGCCATGGTGGAGTTGGTGACAGGACTTCATAAGGTGTTCAGAGTTCATAAGGTCGGGGGTGCACTCTACATTGTCCATAACTGGCTTCTCATGGACCAGTTCTATGGCATAGTTTTGGCCATTGTTCCTGAATCTGTATTCATGGACCTGGCTCTGTACCAGAGTGGTGATTCTGTGAGCCTCTAGATAACATTTTCTTTGCTTGTAAACTCTTTACTGAAACATAACACTGATACAGACAAGTAACCAAATTCTAAGTGTATAGGCTTAATTGTCAGGAAGCATTTAACAGGAGGCTTTCTGTGCGCTGTTTTGGATCTGTCGTAAACCCTCTGTTAGGAGGGGCAAGCCTCTCCTGGTGCTGAGGAATCCAGGCATTTCCTTCATTAGTTTTTCAATACGGTGATAAGTACCCTCTTCCTTCTTATGAACCATACGGTAAAAGTGATTGTTTACAACGCTCTAATATGGATCGCCTTATGTTTTGTGAATCTGGAATTTTAATCTTCATCTTTGCTGAGAATAATTACCTTGTAAGACAGTACACACACCCACACCATGTTGATTAAAACACCTTTGCTCCATCAGAGCTTGGGTGTCTGTGTCTGTCTTTCTTTATCTCTCTCTATTTCTGGCTGATTCCCTAAAGCGTGAAAGCCGGCTGCATAACCCAGGGAATATTAGCCTCTTTCCTTCTTTCACTATCTCATCGTTGACTCCGGACCACCAGGTTCCGGTCCAATAATGGACCAACAAGTGGCGCCTAAACAGGGACTCTTGTACACATGGCAGATTCAGACAGAGTGACCCCCAGGGCCTATTGAGGCCGTAAGCACTAAGACACGGGTCACTCGGCTGGAAAGCCCCCTCACTTTTCTACTTTACTTCATCGCTTATTTAAAGTTCAGGGATTTTCTGTTTCACACCAGTGAATAGAGGCTTGCCTTCAGACAGTGGTTAAATGTAACCCTTGGTCCCCTGATGATGGTAGTTTTGATTTAAAATTTTGGCATTGGGTAAAAGAAAATGTTGAATGAGCCATCAGACAGGGAAAAAAATATTCCAATAGATTTCTGGCCTTTATGGGCTCTCATTGAAGCTGTGATTCTACCATTCCAAAGTAATTCTAGCCCTCCTGATATTCGGCAACAAGCAGAACACTTATTACATGAATATGAATCAGATGATAAAGCCTTAAAAGGCCCAATTAAAACAACATAAGATATTTCAAAATTTTCCTACTAACCCTGCCCCCATTGTTCCAAGCACTCCTCCCCTGCCAGCGGGCACAAATCCCAAAGTCTCTCCCTTGATAGAACCTAATGTTTCTGGCAACAACTCCCTTAAGCCCGTACTGAAATCAAAAAAAAGAAAGAAAGAAAGAAAAAAGCTAAAAGACAACTAAAAAAAATTACTTGTTTATGAAAATGCAAATCAGAAATGTCAAAGGGCTATAGCCCCAATCCGTGAGACAGGGACTATTTTTGATTATTTGAAGGCTTGTGGCAATATAGGATAAAAAACTCAAAAGATGTAAATACTAGCTGAAAGAATGGCTGCTGCCTTAAAAAAGGGAAATGAAGGATGACTTACATGTAGAGATAAAAACCATTTAAAAAGAGATTGCCCTAAGAAAGCTAAAAAAAAAAAAAAAACCCTCCAAAAGCCTGCCCCCACTGCAATAAAAAAAAAAACATTGGGCCAAAGAGAGTAAATCTAAATTTGACATTGAAGGAAAACCTATTCTGGAAAACTCAAAGCAAGAAACCCCCCAGGTCCCCTTCAACAAAAACCAGGGGCAAATTCCATCTTTTCTCTCAAACCCTAAACATCTGGCAGTGCTGCCGTCGATATACCAGCCCTAAATGACTTTCTACTTTACCCTCAAGAAGTCCCCTTTAGAATACCTACCAGATTTTTTGGGCCCCTACCCCCACAAACCTTTGGTCTTTTACTTGGCCAATCTAGTTTGACTTAACAGACAAAAAGGCCAGGGGTCTCCAAATGGAGAAAATAGGCTGCAAGTGTCAGACATTTTTATCTCTCTTAATTGGCAAAAAAAAAAAAAAAAAAAAACCTAGCGATATATTTTTTTCCTTCTCTATACAAATTTAAAAAGAGCTATCTCTTAAAATACTGTGTTGCCATAATGACACCTGGTTTCACTTGAAGTTAACTATTCTCAAACCCTGCGTTGACCAATGCATTTTTCTTATAAAAATGTTTGTCTTAAGCTATGTTAATGTGCTATACATTTACCCCAGACTCTGTCTTCAAGTCAGTTCCTCATAATGGCTCAGAACCTACTTGACAAACTAGTATGTTATACTCAGATATTGTTCCCTTAATCTATGTAAAGAAAACTATTTATATGATAATCTGCCTTTCTTCAAGATTCATGTCAATCATTTTATGGCCCAGAACAACTCACCTGGTGCCAAGGTTATCTCAAAATACATGTTGTGGGTGAGGGGCCTGGTGCTAGTCTCTGAGTTTTGAGACATTTCCTTTCTCTAATTAGCAGACTGCTGGTAGTTATATGACATCTGGCTAAAGACTAGCAGGGGGACACTCTTTCCCTTCTTACTGATGTCTGTCAGAAGCTGTCTCTATCTCCTTTATACTTTAATAAAGCTTTATTACAAATAAATCTCAATTTAAAAACACATTATAAACTTCTACTGATTTCCAAATAGCTTTTCTAAAATATTTTGTAGAAGTTTCATTTCATTATCCTTCTGGTAAGCTGTAAAATTGCTTCAAAAATACTAAATGTATTATTTTCCACATTATCAGCTCACAGCCTATACCACAGGCTGAAAATTTTTATATAGGTAAGACTAAAAATGCCAAAGATTCTGGTCTCTTAAAAAATATAAAGTCTTTTATACTAAATTTCATTCTGCTCAACAAAATAAATTATGTGTTCTTATTCAAGTTATTTGCCTACATCTTTACCCCATTAATATATCTCTGATTCTATATATTCAGTTTTTGTATTAAAAAATATAGGAACCTCCACCATAAACTCCTAGTTCTATTAAAACAGAAAATGGCCCTGACTATATTTCTAGACACTTTAAAGAATTTTTACAATCTTTTTCTATTAAACATATTACAGGTATTCCTTATCATCCACACACACAAGACATAGTCGAACGAATACATCACACACTAAAGTTACAAATAAAAAAAAATTAAAGGAGGGGGAATACACAGGTACACTACTGTCTTCCTTATCTAAAGCAGACTTTACTAGATCCCAACATATTTTCTAAACCTATAACTATTGTTAATACAGCTTTATTTGTTTTAAAAATTTTAAACCTACCACAGGGAAATATTTTAACAAGAGCAGAAAGACATTTCGAGGAATTGAAGGACACTTCTCTTCCTCTGCCCATTTGGTACCAAGACGGGTTCAATAATCAACAGAAATCTGGGAAATCAATCTTATAGGGAAAGGGATATGCTTGTATTTCCCAAATGGATCCAATAAAGTTTTTCCTTGGAAAATTTGACCCAAGGGGGCCCCCAACATTCAAAATGGAAACAAAACAACAAGAACCCCGTGAGGAAGAGATTCCAATACAGGCCATGGCGGCTCTAAAGATCTCCAGAAAGCACCGCCCTCAGTGGCATCAATAGTATGACCTCCCCTCTTGGGGACAGATAAAAACCCTTACTAATAAAGCTGAAAATTTGATCTCTCAACAGGGAATGCCTTGGAGTCCTGAATACATTTTCCTGATAGCCTGTGCCTCCCAAACTCAACTGGGCTTACTTTCCCAACCACCCTTTATTACAGGTGGTAAAATAGACGGAGAAAAGACCGATAGTATCAACCAATGACTCCACCCATATGCCCCCTCCCTGGAACCGTCACACCCTGGGGAGAAAGAAAAACTAACATTTCTTTAGGTTATGAAGTCCTTCCTTTGTGTATGGGCCCAGCAGAATTATGCATAAATGTCAGCTGACAAACTTGGGCATTTGTCCTGCCTCCAAAAGAAGACTTTCGGACATTGCTGCCCTTTGTCTGTGAACCATGTTTACACTACTGAAAGTTTAGGGAAAGAACAAAAACACTATGTAAAAGGTTACTAATAAAACATTACCATGACAAAGGGCTTCTTGGCTGGCTTGACAGTGGAATGGCACCCCTCCCCCTCCTCCTCCTCGAATCATCCTCGGTAAACAAATGGGACCTGAACAATGGGACATATGGAAACTTGCTGCCAGCACCGAAGAACTTGGGACTTAGACCGCACATTTCACAGAGACCAGTCTTGGTCATAGTACCTATTTCTTTCGCTATAATCAGTCATATTTTATACAGGCCTATGTCCCACTTCCTTTTGTTATGGCCATAGAAAGTTCACAATTTAATAAGACTTTACGTTTTGTAACTTGTATTCATTGCAAATTTTATGCTGCTGCTGCTGCTAAGTCGCTTCAGTCGTGTCCAACTCTGTGCGACCCCATAGACGGCAGCCCACCAGGCTCCGCCATCCCTGGGATTCTCCAGGCAAGAACACAGGAGTGGGTTGCCATTTCCTTCTCCAGTGCGTGAAAGTGAAAAGTGAAAGCAATCGTGTCTGACTCTTAGCGACCCCATGGACTGCAGCCCACCAGGCTCCTCCATCCATGGCATTTCCCAGGCAAGAGTACTGGAGTGGGAGGCCAGTACCTTCTCCAATTTTGTGTCACTCCTCTTCAATTCAATCATAGTGCCTACAATTGGGAACAAATCCAATTTCATTTACATGATAATGCCTCTCTGAATGTACAATTACTGCAAAATGAAATCCTTGAAACTTTTTTCTAAATGCCTGCCCTCTTCCACTAACTTTAGCTAAACAGCTCGCTGATTGATTGGGCTAGACCCACAAGGATGGTTTCAAAGTATTACTCACAGCATCGGGTCTGGAACTGTAACTTTGGTGATTGTCTTGATAATTATATTTGTTGTTTATTGTCACCTTTCTATAAGGTTGGTTAATACTAACCAAACTCATTTGGTCAGTACCTTTTTTTTTACAAATATAATAAGATAGGGGGAATTGTCAGGAAGCATTTAACAGGAGGCTTCCTGTGCGCTGTTTTGGATCTGTCATAAATCCTCTGTTCCTTATTAATTCCTGAATATTCAGGAATTAAGAGGAGGGGCAAGCCTCTCCCAGGGCTGAGGGATCCAGGCATTTCCTTCATTGGTTTTTCAATATGGTGATAAGTACCCTCTTCCTTCTTAGGAACCATATGGTAAAAGTGATTGTTTACAACTTTCTCTCTTTAATATGGATCACCTTATGTTTTGTAAGTCTGGAATTTTAATCTTCATCTTTGCTGAGAATAATTCCTTTGTAAGACAATATATATGCCCACACCATGCTGATTAAAACACCTTTGCTCCATCAGAGCTTGGGTCCCCATGTCTGTCTGTCTGTCTATTTTTTCTTTCTTTTCTTTCTTTTTCTCTCTCTCTCTCTCTCTCTCTCTAGCTGATTCCCTGGAGCTCAAAAGCCGGCTGCATAACCCAGGGAATATTAGCCTCTTTCCTTCTTTCACTATCTCATCATCGACTCCTGACAACCAGGTTCCGGTCCAATAAAGGACCAACACTTAATGAAATGACTATAAACTAAAAAATAATGAATATGTAATCGACACTCCTGGAAGCATCCTTTGTGCCTACTTCCTTTCACAGCCTCTCTTACAAAGGTAAATGTAACCATGACTTGTGAAACCACAGATTTGAACTCTATATGAATAGTTCCATACAATATATGTCCTTGGCGTCTGACTTCTTTCACATAACATTATATACTTGGGATTCACCCACATTTTTGCAGGTGGTTGTTGATTCATTCATTCTTATTGGTTTATATTTACCATGAGTTGAGAATACACAGTTTATTAATCCATTTTCCTGTATACATCTGAATAGTTGCCAGAGAGGGACTAGTTTGGTTCAGTTCGGTTCAGTCGCTCAGTCGTGTCCGACTCTTTGCGATCCCATAAACCGCAACATGCCAGTCTTCCCTGTCCATCACCAACTCCTGGAGTCCACCCAAACCCCTGTCCATTGTGTCGGTGATGCCATCCAACCATCTCATCCTCTGTCGTCCCCTTCTCCTCCTGCCCTCAATCTTTCCCAGCATCAGGGTCTTTTCAAATGAGTCAGCTCTTCGCATCAGGTGGCCAAAGTACTGGAGTTTCAGCTTCAACATCAGGCCCTCCAATGAACGCCCAGGACTGATCTCCTTTAGAATGGACTGGTTGGATTTCCTTGCTGTCCAAGGGACTCGCAAGAGTCTTCTCCAGCACCACGGTTCAAAAGTATCAATTCTTTGGTGCTCAGCTTTCTTTATAGTCCAACTCTCACATCCATACATGACTACTGGAAAAACCATAGCCTTGACTAGATGGACCTTTGTTGGCAAAGTGATGTCTCTGCTTTTTAATATGCTGTCTAGGTTTGTCATAACTTTCCTTCAAGGAGCAAGCGTCTTCTAATTTCATGGCTGCAATCACCATCTGCAGTGATTTTGGAGCCCAAAAAATAAAGTCAGCCACTGTTTCCACTGTTTCCCCATCTATTTGCCATGAAGTGATGGGACTGGATGTCATGATCTTAGTTTTCTGAATATTGAGCTTTAAGCCAACTTTTTCACTCTCGAAGCCACTTTCATCAAGAGGGCTCTAGTTCTTCTTCACTTTCTACCATAAGGGTGGTGTCATCTGCATATCTGAGGTTATTGATATTTCTCATAGAGAGGGACTATGTCCACCATTATTTCCAACAGTATTGTTTTGAACTTGCCTGTATTTATCTTTTGGTGAAAATACATATGTGATTCAATTGGATACATATTTATGAGTGGAATTGCTGAGTCATAGGGTTTTTGAATGTTCAGTCAGACATTTCCAAACAGTTCTCTAAAGTGATTATTACAATTCACTCTTTTGTTAAAGTGTATAAGCACCCCAGTTCCTGTGTACTGTCATCAACATTTTAGATCAACATTTACATTTTAGCCACTTTGGTGACTAGGTAGTTTTGTTGAATGAACTTATTTCAGATTTCCTTTATAAGCAATTGTCTTTGCTCCAACTGCTATAACAAAATCGCCATATACCAGGTGGGTGGCTTAAATGAAAATCATTTATTTCTCATAGTTTTGGAGGGTAAGTATAAGATTATGGTTTTTGCAGATCCATTGTTTGGGGAGAGACCACTTTCTGGCTTATAGACAGCCACTTTCTCCCTCTATTCTCACATGATTGAGAGAAACAAGATCTCTGTCTCTTTATGAGGATGCTAATGCCACAATGAGGGCTCCACCCTAATGACCCAATCGCCTCCCAAAGGCCACATCTCCAAATACCAGCAGGTTGAGGATTAGAGTTTCAATAAATGAATTTGGAGGGGAGATATAAACATTCAATTTTTTAGCAACAGTGAAATTGAGTGTCTCTTCAGTTGTATATTTTTCCATTTGGATAGCCTGTGATCCTGTCTCTCTTGAGAGCTTTGCCTTTGCCATTAATTCATAGGTTTTCTTGTATATTCTGCACATATTGCTTTGTTAACATACATATGTAACTATTTGTAGGTTTTTTAATGCTTTCTGGATATGATTCCTTTGAGATATATAATATCTTGTCTCAATCTGGGGATTGCTTTTATCTTTTCATTCTCTTAATGATGTCATTTTATAAAAAAATTTTTTTTAAAGAAGAGAATTTTCAAGTTATTCTGTATGTTCAGTGCTTTTTTGTCCTAATTAAGAAACAATTGAGTTCATGTAGATGTTTTTCCATATTTTCTTCCAAAGGTTTTTTCCCCCAGCAAGTTATTTTCTGTCTAAACCAGACAAAGCTTGCTTACTTTGCTTTCAACTAAGAAGCCTGATATTTATAATTACTAGATGTCCCAAAGGTACCCAAGATCCATAAAAAATAAAGCAAAATTTGTTCTACCTTCAAAAATAGGTCATTCCCTCTATTATCTATAAAAGCATGCTAAACCAGCTGTGCAAGCCAGAAATCTAGGAATTATCCTTGATAGCTCCATCTTTCTCAGTTACAATATTTAATCTGTCACCCTATTAATTATCTATTGCAGAGTAGCAAGTTAGTAGTTTAAAACAACAATAACCATATGTTATCTCACAATTTCTGTCATTCAGTAATTCAGATGTAGCTTGGCTGGGCAATTCTGGCTTGGGAATTCTCGTAAGTACATAGTCAGATGTCAGCTGAGACTGCACTGACCTGAAAGCTTGACTGGGGCAGAAAAATCTACTTTGAAGTTGGTTCAAACCAACATGGTTTGCAAGTTGGTCCTATCTGTTGATGTGAAGCCCAATTCTTCTCCACATGGGCTTCTTCAAAGGGCTGCTTGAGTGCACTCATGGCACAGTTGCCAACTTTCCCCAGGAAGAGTGATCTAAGGCACCAAGGCAGAAGTCACAATGCCTTTTATGATCTAACCTCAGTAGTCATACATGGTCACTTTTCTAACATTCCATTGGTCATGCTGGCCAATTTGACTCAATGTGGAAGTAGCTTATAGAAGAGCATGACTATCAGGAGGTGAGGTTCATTGGGAATCATTTTGGAGGTGACTCCAGAATCATTAAACCTTCTGTAGCTTCATTTGTTGTTATTAAAGTAAAAATACAGAAAGCCTTATTGATTATTCCGATTATAAATGTTATATATTCTGATGGTAAAAGATTCAAACAATACAAAAACATTGAAAGAAGTAATTACAAATCATTGGAAATTTCATCTTCTATAGGTTATGGCCAATTTTTTAAATATCTCTTTATGCAAACCCTCTTAGTTTGACCTTAATAATACACACAGGCTCATAGTGCATACCTGTCTTGTTTGAACTCAACATGTTATAGACATATGTCCAGTTAATAAATATAGATTTATATTATTATTTGTAATCACTTCCTAGTAATCTACTGTAAGAATTACCAAATTTAACACTATAGATGGTCCTTTAAGTAATTTCCAGATTACTTTCTGTTTTATACAATAGATTATTAAGCAACATTATACATAGATCAAGTCTTCTCTATTTTCGGTGAGAAATATCTCTCAACTCTGCCACCACTGTGGTTCAAGAGACCATCATTATCTCTTGTTTAATATGCAATGTCTCTCTGGACCCCCTCAATTACTTTCATCTCACCGCATCCAGAGTGATTTTTTTCAAAAGATAAACCTGAACTTTTTAGTCTTCAGTAGTTTTAAGAAAATGTCTAAAACCTCCCTGAAAGATGTATTGAGTCTTTCATGATCCGGCTCTTCCTCTGTTTGCTGAACTATCTCCTCACCAGTCCTCTTTCGCTTTCTCAGTGCCTAGACACATTCAACTCGAGAGTTCAACAGGCTCAATTTGTAAAGCAACTCTTAGCATTAGGTTTCACTCAGAGTGGGAGCTTAATATGTCATTGTTGTTATTGAAGGATTGCCAGTGCATGCATATAAAAGAGGGAGCACTCTGCAGACATGTTTTGCCCTAAATGTGTTACTGCCAATTATCATACCCTACTTTAGCTAGATTATATAAACATTTCTGATACTCTTGCATTTTGTTTAACTACAGAAGTCCCTAGCATTGGCAGGAGATCTCTAAATCTGAAAAGTCTCTGTTTCCTCCAATCTTTACTAACCAGAAGCAACTTAGATTCCATGTTAGTTTAATGCTCTATGGAATAAAATGGCAATGAAAGAAGTATTTTCAACTAGGGCCATAACTTGAACTCTTTAAAATAAAATGCTTCAAGGCTTCAAAAAATGAGGGCATGAAATATTTTTAGTTGTCGTTATTCTTTATTTGAGGCCCAGTTTTTAATTCCATGGGCTAACTTGATAACTTTTAGTTTCTTAGAAATATACAAGGAACAGCAATTTCACAGTTATAAATCAATTTCCTGAAAAGCAAATTTGGAAACAAGATCTATACAAAGATGAACATTACATACAATGCAAGGGTTTGCTATATTTATTTTTTTCAGCTTCATATATGGTGGAAAAAAATCTATGTAGTTGAAATATACAGCATATGTTAAAGGCCACTTAATTTGCTGTGGACCCTCAATTTCTGAATCTTTTGTCAAATTTCTCTTCTGTTTACAGGCATAATCTGTCTCATGCTGAAGTTTTTCTATTTGCTTAAACCAGATATGCATGGGGCTTTCATGCAGTATTTAGGAAAGAAGAGTAGTTGCAGAATTTTATTTGCCTCCATCAAGCAATTTTTTGGTGGAAAATAACCAACAAGTTCAATTTCTCCCAAGAGGGAATCATTCTGCCTCACTTCCTGGGATGGAAAGCAATAAAATAGCAGTTATAAGCCAGACTCTTAATGGCAGCTGGAAAATACAAATTTTTAACTTCAATTTTATTCTACTTTGTAATAGTAATCCTTTGTAATTTGTGTAACATTATAGGGTTTTTATAGTATTTCCATGTTTACTGAAATATATTTTGTGCTTGTTTATACTTTCTTGTTAAAGAATTTTTGTGTGTTTCTTACACTTAACATGTTAGCTTAAGTCTTTTCATCATCTCCTTTTAGGATGAGAATCCCAGAACTTTTTTGATGAAAACACATTTATTGGATCTGTGCCATGAATACATGTGCTCAGTACATTTAAGAATTCACACACACACACACATACACACAAGAAAAAACATGTGTTCATGATCCAGAATCCAATACAAAGCAAGCACAAGTACCTAGGCACCAATAACACAAGAGAAATGTTGTAATATGTGAAAGGACTGATAAAAATGCCAAAAAGTTCTGAGCAGAAAAACTATCATTTAGGATATTTGAGTATCTATTATACACTAGATATTTTGTAATTTTATATACCAGGTTTGAATAGTTAACCATTTTTATGTAAAACAACTCATTTTCTATGAATGAATGAAAAAAGATCCTTAAAGTTCTTGAGTTCACAAACCAAGAATAAAATAAATAAAGGGATGATTTAGAATCAAAAAGCATGTCTCTAGCCCAGGTACTTGTTTATGGAAAAGCTTCCTAGAGGATTGTCCTTTGAACTAAACTGAGCCTTGAAGGAAGAGTGAATAGAATTTTGAAAAGGCAAAGGAAACAGCAAAGGAAACCAGCTACCTGAGCACAGGTGTGGAATGGATCTCTGTGGAGGGAGTGAACTCAAGCACAAAAGTGAGTTCTTGGCTCAGAGCTGAGAGTTGATGGAGGAACATGAACGCTAATGTACAACTGAGACTGAGGCCAGGAATAAGATAAAAGGGGAGACTGGGCATTAAGTGCGAAGGACGTTAAGAAGGTGGAGGCATGAATCAGCTTTTAGGAGGAGAAATGAGAGATTAAGATGTAAAAATACATCATGTCACTATATGAACTGAGCTTGAAAAATTCCCATGTCGCTATTTTTATCTTATACTGAAAAGCATTCTGGTACCTCACTTATGCCTTGTGTGTCAGAGACTTAAAATGGTCACCAGTAGCTTTATTATCCTCATCTCCAGGACGTATGGTTTCTTTGTTCATTTCCCCTGGCACTTAGATAAAACCAGTGATAAAGTTCTGGCCAGTGAAGTTTCAGTGGAAGAGATAAGTAGTAAGTACATCCAAGCATAGCTCATCAAAGCCCCCCATGTCTAATCCTAGCATCTTTACTGCCTCACTGGATAAATAAAGAGAACTGAAAGACTTGCATGAGAGATAGGATGAAAGGATCTGGGTGTCCAAGTGACTTTATGGAGCAGAGACCATCCACGGACCTACACTTCCATGTCAAGCGAGAAACAAGTTCTATTTTGAGGTAAGTCGCTAGAATTTGGGGACTATTTCTTTCAGCAGTTATTCTACCCTGATACCCCTTCCTGAATAATTTGCAAGAATCATTATCCCTGACTTGGACTCTGATTGGCCACTGCTATTCCCAAGAGACTGAACAGTGTGGGAAAAATTGTTTCAACACTGTTGAATACTGCCTCAACAGGACTCACAGTACTGCCATGGAACCCTGCATTCTACTGGTTACAAACTGTTCTCGTTCCTTTCATGGCCTAATTTGAAGGTTCATCTTTCTCCTTAGGATCTTCCTGCTCCTACTTCCAGCAGGTGAGTTGGCTGTTTTGCTTTTAGTTAAGTGCTTATTCAAGAATCATGACCATCTTTGGTTTTTTTCTTATTAAGTAATTCTTTATGTACTAGAGATATAAGATCATTATAGATATAATATATAAAATGGCTACCATTTTAAAAGACTGACTATACCAAAAGTTGAAAAAGATGTGGAAAAAGCAAAACTCGCATGTACTCTAGAAAGGAATGTAAAATGGTACAATCACTTTGTAAAATTTTTGGCAATTTTTAAAAAATTTTTGTCTATCATATAATCCAGTCATTCTACTCCTGGGTAGTTATTCAAAGATCAGAGAGGAAATCCCCAGTAGTATATGGCCAAGAAGAGGTCTTCCACTGAGGATTTTCTGTGGTTTGTGGTTGGAGTGACATGTAAACACCTTTCTCTATTTTTCCCTTGAAATCTTCAGTAAGGTCTATGTAAGTCACTGGTTATTGTATCAGTTTTTTTTTTTTTTTTTTTTTAATCTTTTGCCATACCACACAACATATGGGATTTTAGTTCCTAGACCAGGGATTGNTTGAAATTTTTATCATATTTCTATTTTTGATCAGTCTCCAGGTAAGTATTAGTGAGAACCTATTGGGCACTGGGCTTGAGATTAAAAGAAAAAAAGGGCGGGGGGGGAGGGAGGCAGAATAAGAAGTGGTCCCTACCTTCAGTGTTTGAAAGAAGATGGAGACTAACAAGATATTCCCTAGATGTCTACAGTGAAAGTCAAGACAGAGGCCAAAGAAACCCAGAGGCAGGGTCTTGATGGTGTGAGACATGCCAGTCTTTTCAGAGGAAGTGACCCTTAGCTGAGTCTTAAAGATATGCAGAAGCAGAAGAGAGGTAGGGGAAAGGGGCACCAAGCCGCTGAAGGGGGAGGGACTGGCTGGTACTAGGGCATTACAGTGAGGAACCCCAGAATCAGCAGAGAGCAGCAGACGGTCGGGAATGGCCACAGCCTGCTGCAGGTCAATGCATGGGGCCCCAGGATGAGCCTGGGGGCAATAACAGGCGATGCAATCTGTAACACAAGCTCCTGAGAAACTGCTCTCAGGCCTGGCAATCCACTGAGCCCCAAATTGGACTCAATCTCCTGGACTCTACCCACAGGCATTTTCCAACCATTTTTCCCCCCTCTTAGATGTATAATATGGAACTCAGGACTTTGATTTTCATTTCTTTTTTAGTATGCTTATACTCATTTTAAATGAGAGAACAAGTGATTTAATGGGGCAGACTTCTCATGTGGACAAAGATTGGTAAAATAACCTGATTTCATCCACAATTTTGCAGGTTCTTTAATGTGACCTGATCACCTTCTCTAGGGATGAGCAGGCCTTAGAGGCCCTAGAGGACCATCTCATACTAAAAATACCTAACTACTGAACTGACAAATTAAATGGCGACTTATTCATTTATAACACAGGGATGACTCTCCATTATCCAGAATTCCAGATCTGGACATGCTGAGTAAGGAGAATATCATTTAGTGAAGAACTACTCCGTGTTATAGTGGGCACTTCCTTGTATTATTTCAATCACTTGTCACCACAACTCTGTGATATAGTTCTTATTTTGTCCCAATTTTATATATGAGAAACTTAGTGAGAAACATTAAAAGATCTACTTTGATCCCATAGCCTATAAGTTTTGGAGCTAAGATTCAAGTGCTTTGATTTCTACCCCATGCAATGAGCTGAGTGCACCCACACTGGCTGAAAAAAAAATGATAATGATAATTATTTAATTAATGTAATTATAATTTACTGGATATTTTCTGTATGCATGCATGCTTGCCAAGTCTCTTCAGTCATGTCCGACTCTTTGTGACCCTTTGGACTGTAGCCCGCCAGCTCCTCTGTCCTTGGAATTCTCCAGGCAAGAATACTGGAGTGGGTTGTCATTACCTTAAATACTTTGACATGCATTATCTTACATAACCTTAACAACTCTGTTAAGTGAGAAACTATTTCCAGTGAACAATGAGGAAACAGATGCTCAAAAAGTTTAAATAACTTTCTTGCCCTGGTTAAGTGATGGGGCAGATATTCAAACCATGTCTTTCTGCCCGCAAAGTACTTTTTACTGCCAGGCAATGTTAAGACTATCTGATGAATAAAAATCAGAATGGAGAGAATTTGTTGATTGACAGGATATTTCATCAAGGGTGTGGTAGAGGATAGAAAACCACTGAAGTTCTCCTAGGAGGGACTGATCATGTCGCTTCATGCCATGATGCAACAGACATTGAATATCTAATACTATTATTTTTCATTCTCACTAATAATTCTTATTAGTCACAAAAACTCATCACTATCTTTTTTTCATGATAGAGAGTGTGCATTATAATTTTCAGTCTATATTGTCTCACCTTTCTCTGAGGATAAATTTTAGGAATTGAAAAAGAAATGAAATGTCCCAAACCTGAGGAAAAAGCGTGATTACTTTTTGATGACATACTTTAGCAATCTTTCTTTACTAAATTGGTGGTATATCTGATTAACTTTCAGGTCAGTGAAATTAGAATTTATCCTGCAAAATGGATGTACATATGATAGTTTTACAAGTTTAAACCCTTTAAGAAATCTTGGGACTAGATCAATAAATTTTAACAGGTATTTCCTTCCAGCACCTCAACTTACAAACTTATTAAGACGGGTTTTGTTTTGGTTTGCTTCTCTTTGTGGAAGTAAGATTTGGATGGGGTGGCAAGTTTGAAGTAAACCTAGACCTTTGCTCAGAACCAATGCATCCGAGAACTTTCCTTTAACATCCCTTTGTTTCTTGAGCCTGGACTCATTGAGAAAGCGTTTGTTTCTTTACACTGCAGCCCAGTCACCTGGCAGGAGGTTGGGTACAAAAGAATGTGCTTTCTAAATGTCAGCTGAATAAATGAATATTTGAATAAATTCACCAACTATGGGCTTCGTTTCATTTTTACCCTGCTTCCTTTTTTTTGGAAAGATACTCAATTGAGTTTTCTCATCCATTCATTTTTATTCCTTTGCAAAGAGTACCCCTTGGGACGTCTCTGCCAGATCTTTCCTGGGAGCCCTAGCCTGTCCGGCTTGGTGTCTCCCCGACAGTCTGGGCGGACCCTGCCCCTCCCCCTGCGCCACCCCTCCCCCAAATCAGTTCACATCGTCTTTGAGGATGGAGTTTCCAAACCACCTTCTACTATGCATGGTTTCCCCCTCCTAAAGTTGAACAGGCTGGTGAAAATTTAGGCAACGTAGAGAATATTTAAAACAAAAGAGAAGTAACGGAAGATTAAGGAAAGGTCACTACAGTTAGCGAGAAGGGTGTGACTCACTAAAAACAAAAAACCACGTTAACTGACAAAGAGCAAACCGGAAGAAAAATCAGGAGAACCTTTTGGGTGGCTGATTGAGACAATACCAGAGCTGCAAGTGATGAGAGTGGGAAAGTCAGTCAGAAAAGACTATGAGGTAAATCCATGGCTAATTCATTTCAATGTATAACAAAAACTACTGTAATGATGTAAAGTAATTAGCCTCCAACTAATAAAAATAAATGGAAAAAAAAAGAAAATGAATAGAAATTAAACTAAAATAAAGATAGAATAAAATATATTAAAAAAAAAAAAAGACTATGAGGTGAAGAAATTTGCAGGACTCTTGGAGGGAGGTCTATGCCTGGCTTTCCCCTGGCTGACTCTGTGACTTTTCTGTGCATATGACCCTCATTTTTAAAATAAGGATATTAGACCAAATGATACATAGGATCCTTTCCAATTCTAACATTTTATAGAGGACTAGAATTTTCTAGCAGGTTAAATGGGTTCTTTGTTGTTGTTGTTGTTGTGCTGGGTCTTTTGTTGCCGTTCGTGGGTTTTCTCTAGCCGTGGAGAGCAGGAGCTCTTCTCTAGTTGTTCTGCGTGGGCTTATTGCGGTAGCTTCTCTTGATGCAGAGCACAGGCTCTAGGCACATCGGCTCCAGTAGCTGCAGCATGTGAGCCCAGTAGCTGGGAAACACTGGCTTAGTTGCTCCTGACTCCCTCCTCACCGTGTGGAATCTTCCTGGACCAGGGATTGAACTTGTGTCCCCTGCATTGGCAGGCGGATTCTTATCCACTGAGCCACAGGGAAGTCCTAAATGGATTCTTGTTTCAAGTCCCATATGTATATTTAGTCTGAGACAATTTTTGATTGCTCTTTGTATTTTCTTCCTTATTTAATCCATGCTTATTGAGTGGCTGCCTGGTATTTGACCAGTGTTTTACGCAGTGGGCATACAAGATGGGGAAGATATCATCACTGCCATCTACAACCTCACAGGCTGGGCGGCCACAGCTTTCTAAACAGCAACAAGGCCACTGGAGCAGAAGTGAGGGCTAGGGGAGGGAGGCAGGGATGGAGATAAAATGGAAAGGACAAGGGCAAGGGAGAACATTTTACAATTTCGTGAGATACAGATGGGGCCACCACTTTTAAAAAAGACAGGAAAAGGTGGTTATGATTTTTACTTTGACTCCTTCATTTTATGAGGATGGTTAGTGTCTACTCTATGACCGTGGCTTCTTAGAAGGTTAGTGAGGGATTCACTGGACTTTCCACACCTCCTGTGAAGGAGATGGTTGGTTTTTGTATTATTGATGTGGCCACTACCAAGCCTATATGTTTGTGTTAACTGCACAGTTGACTGCTTGGGGATATTGAAGGTTGCTCAGTGATTCCTCATGGTCCTTGATGCTGACATAGAGATTCAAATTGCAGATGGCAGTCCTGAGAAGAGAAGAGCCTAGCTCTGATTGGGGCCCTGCAAGTGGGCATCAGTGTGTGAAGCAGGTGGGCCAGTGGTGTGGTTAGCAATTAACCAGAAAGCACAAGCTTAACCCCAAAATTGTGACTTTTGATCTCCAGTGCCTGGCACAGTCGTATTTAACCAAAGAAGCTATTTTTGTTGTTATTGCTTATTTGTTTTTATCCCCCCTTGTTAGACAAAGGTATTTAAGTTGGTCAGATGCTAAATATTATTAGGATGATTATTAGAAACAATGCTGGATTTAGAGCCGAATATAGTATGAAATGGTTGGATGCCATCACTAACTCAATGGTCATGAGTTTGAGCAAGCTCCAGGAGATAGTGAAGGACAGGGAAGCCTGGTGTGCTGCAGTCCATGGGGTCGCAAAGAGTAGGACACAACTTAATGACTCAACAACAATAACAACAGTATGGAATTAGTTGAAGGGGGTTTTAAACATTTTTGAATCAAAATAGTAGATATAGAATACAGAAGTACATTAAAAATACACATAAAAGTACAAACTTAACATGCCGACCTTAAGAAACACATCATCAGCATCACAGAATGAGGAGCTGAGAGCTCCTCTCTAAAGATTATTTGTAATACCAGTTGGTAGTACCTGCCCTCTAAAATCATCTGTACAACCTCACAGGCTGGGCGGCCACAGCTTTCTAAACAGCAACAAGGCCACTGGAGCAGAAGTGAGGGCTAGGGGAGGGAGGCAGGGATGGAGATAAAATGGAAAGGACAAGGGCAAGGGAGAACATTTTACAATTTCGTGAGATACAGATGGGGCCACCACTTTTAAAAAAGACAGGAAAAGGTGGTTATGATTTTTACTTTGACTCCTTCATTTTATGAGGATGGTTAGTGTCTACTCTATGACCGTGGCTTCTTAGAAGGTTAGTGAGGGATTCACTGGACTTTCCACACCTCCTGTGAAGGAGATGGTTGGTTTTTGTATTATTGATGTGGCCACTACCAAGCCTATATGTTTGTGTTAACTGCACAGTTGACTGCTTGGGGATATTGAAGGTTGCTCAGTGATTCCTCATGGTCCTTGATGCTGACATAGAGATTCAAATTGCAGATGGCAGTCCTGAGAAGAGAAGAGCCTAGCTCTGATTGGGGCCCTGCAAGTGGGCATCAGTGTGTGAAGCAGGTGGGCACATGGCACTGGCCAGTGGTGTGGTTAGCAATTAACCAGAAAGCACAAGCTTAACCCCAAAATTGTGACTTTTGATCTCCAGTGCCTGGCACAGTCGTATTTAACCAAAGAAGCTATTTTTGTTGTTATTGCTTATTTGTTTTTATCCCCCCTTGTTAGACAAAGGTATTTAAGTTGGTCAGATGCTAAATATTATTAGGATGATTATTAGAAACAATGCTGGATTTAGAGCCGAATATAGTATGAAATGGTTGGATGCCATCACTAACTCAATGGTCATGAGTTTGAGCAAGCTCCAGGAGATAGTGAAGGACAGGGAAGCCTGGTGTGCTGCAGTCCATGGGGTCGCAAAGAGTAGGACACAACTTAATGACTCAACAACAATAACAACAGTATGGAATTAGTTGAAGGGGGTTTTAAACATTTTTGAATCAAAATAGTAGATATAGAATACAGAAGTACATTAAAAATACACATAAAAGTACAAACTTAACATGCCGACCTTAAGAAACACATCATCAGCATCACAGAATGAGGAGCTGAGAGCTCCTCTCTAAAGATTATTTGTAATACCAGTTGGTAGTACCTGCCCTCTAAAATCATCTGTAGTACAGATAGGAATTACCTTACTTATCTTCTCCATCAGATTGTGACAGGCATTAGTCAGGGAGGGTCTTTTTCTCCTTGCATTCGTGTTATATTATTCCAATGGCTCATAGGTTTCTGTAGGAGTTTGTTGAGGAGTTTCAGTGAATCAACTGAACAACGCCAGAGCCCAAACATCTGTCTCATGAGGAGTCCCAGAAAAATCCAGTTTCCAGGTCACATCTCAGTTTCTGAGTTTATTTCTCAGATTGAGCTCTTTAGGTGTACTTAGAGCTCTCAGGAAAGAGGCATATTCTAAATTTAGTCTCTCTGGTTGAACATTAAAATATTGGAGTGGAAGAGTGACGGTAGCAAAAGGGGTTAATTAGCATTTTGTGTGCATTAGCTAACACAGCTGCTTCCAATTCAATGGCCAACATCAAAGGTTCTCTAGAAATATGTTCCATGGAAATCCCCATTTGTGCTTGCTTAAGTGGGGTGTTGAGAGTTAGGTAAGCCAGTTGCATCACTAGGGATGAAATGGAGAGAAGCACCAACAAAGAGTTTGACTCAAGTGCTTGCTGGTTGGCCAGATCGTTGTGGGAAAAATCAGGGCAGGATCAGTTTTCTGGCAAGTAGCCCCTTTATTCAGTTCCATCTTTCTTTCACTGGATTATAGCACAGATCTTGGTACATGGCTTTTTCTTTTGCAGACCCTTGGGTTTAGCTTAGATATGCCTCTGATCATTTCCAATGATCCTTCTGCCAGTACTGTGCTAAAATGCTACTGAGCACCAACTGAAAGAGATCAGATTGTTTTATAAGATGGGGGTCCAGCAAGCCATGAAGGCAGGGCGCACCAGTCAGTCAGGAAGCATCTGCAGGAGTTAGCAGATATTTCAATTAGAAGAGAATCACAGGCTGAGTGAACAACAGAAAGAGATAAAGGATTAGATGACTCATCTCTGAGGAGATGAGAACATGAATGCTCATGGATTTTCCCTTGTTTTAAACACTGTGGTTGGATTAGGTATTTGAAATCAACTCCTTCATGCCCTATATATTTTTAAAACCTTTTTTTTTTTTTTCCTCTGGGGGGAGGGGATTCGTGAGTCCTACTCAAGGATCACTGCCTTGCCTAGCAGGTTTCTAGTACCTGGGTTGGAAGAACGAGAGCAAGGCCATACCTCTATGTTGGCTGATGCCATGGTGGTGTAATTTCAAGGCCACCAGAAAAGACTTCACTGACATTTCTTTCTCCATCAAGTTTGTAATCTGGCCATGAAGCGTTCCTTCTTTTACCAAAATCAATCAGCATCTCAAACTGGGTTTTAAAATGCACATCCTGGTAAAAGGATTTTTATTAAAAGATAAAATTCTGTCTGAATCTCTCAGGGCCTGAGAAAAAGCTGTAATGACATGTGTCATTGATTCCTGGGAATGCAGCCCATCAGAGACTTCCCTGATCCCAGATTTTGAAGTTCTAGCAACAAGCAGAAAAAGAAAGGCTTTTGAGGTAGATGTGTGCATATGTGCTAAGTTGCTTCAATCCTATCTGACTCTTTGCAACCCTGTGGACTGTAACCCAGCAGACTGCTCTGTCCACGGGATTCTCCAGGTAAGAATACTGGAGTGGGTTGCCATGCCCTCCTCCAAGGGATCTTCCTGACCCAGGGATGGAACTCAGATCTATTGTCTCCTGCCTTGGCAGGTGGGTTCTTTACCACCAGGGCCACCTGGGGAGCCCTTTGAGGTAGATAGGAAGAATTAAAAAGAAAGATAAGGGCTCAGAAAGGGAAGGAGATAAGATGAGTAGAGAAGGTCAATTCGGGGTTTTGAACTGATGATTTGACCTTTTTAAGCCTCAGTTTCTTCATCTGTAAAATGGAGCCAATAACCTTTTTTTTGGAGATTCTTGGTCAATGATC